ACTCCATGGACCTAACCTCCATGACTTGATCTCACTTCCCTTTCAACTCTGTTCTAGTTGTAGCCTTCACAGCCTCCTGCAGCAAGGAGTTCCGCAGGTTAACTATTTGCTTTGGGAAGAACAACAACTTTCTCTTACTAGTTTCAAGCCTGCTACCCATTCCTTTCCTTTGGTGTCCTCTAGTCCTTCTTTATGGGAACTCAGGAAGAACTTTTCTGAATGCACCCTCTCCACCCAACCCCTGCTTTTAGAGACCTCTATCCTGTCCCCTCTCCGTCTCCTCTTTTCTAAGCTGAACAGTCCCAGTCTCTGTAGCCTTTCTTCATCTGGGACCTGTTCCCAACCCCTGATCATGTTAGTTGCCCTCCCCTCTCCCAGCCTTTCTCTTCCCTTCTCCCACCTCCTTTTCCCAGTCTCCCCCAGTTTTTTTTCAATAAAGACAGAGTCAATGTTGGAAGAAATGTTATCTTTATTTTGTACATCAATAAGAAGGGGGGCTAGGGAAGGGTAAGTGGAAGGAGGTGAGGGAGGAATGGGGTACGAGCCCCCGATGGGGAGGACTGGGCTGGCTCTGCGGGCTTCTGGGGGTGGAAGCTCTCCTGCAGCCCCCCAATTACTCCCTCTCCCCAGATGGCAGCCTGCGGCAAGTGCAGCCGGGCTGATGGCCGAGTGGTGTGATGTGCCCAGTGTGGGTACTCCGGGCAATCCAAGCCAGGACTGCTTTGCAAGCGGGGCACCCCTGAGAACTGTCTGTCCGGGGTGGGGGTCGGGACCCTTTAAGCACAGCCCTCGGCTAGCCTGAGACAGCATCTCCACGCTCTAAGTCCTCCTCTGATGCCCTGCCGGCACTGCTTCCGGCCATACTTAACCTCTGTTCAGGGTCCACTTAATGTGGACGCGCTAGTTCGAATTAGGAAAACGCTAATTCGAACTAGTTTTTAGTTCTAGATGCGTTAGTTCGAATTAGCTTAGTTCGAATTAACTAATTCGAATTAAGTTAGTTCGAATTAGCGCTGTAGTGTAGACGTACCCTTAGATATTAGATTCTAAAGGGCTGGTGCAGCATGCTCTTTTGGGTAAGATCTGAGGTATAAATTGTCCTGGGACTGTGGCTTGTCCTGTGGGACTGAGAGAACCTATTCAGAGTTGGTGAGATGGGTTTATAACCCCTGATCTGTGTGAGGAGTGGGGCTGGTGGTGGCACATCTGGAGTGTCTAAGGGGGTTGCTGGCTAGAGAAGCAGCTGAAGTGCTCTGTGGGTGGCTGATTTGGTGCTTTATAGAGGAGGACCCCAGTCTTGGGCTGTACGTAGGCCTGGTTCTGAGCAAGTTGCCATGATTTGACCCTCGCAGCGATGCCCCCAGCCGCCCTATTGAATGACAAGGGGTGTGGAGTAGAACGGTTCCTTGAACTCAGGGGTGGGGCTAGATCAGGACGGGGCTTTTCCTCCTTCCCCACTAGGGGCTCAGGTTCCAAACTTCCCCCAAAGTGGGGGCTGCCTGGCTCTGGGGCTGGGGAAAAGGACACGGATCCGAGAGTGCTCCCGTGCACCCCCACCTCCGCTGGCTCAGTCCGTGGGGGGGTGAGGCTGCCCCCGCCCTGACTGCAGCCAGTGCAACATCCCCACGTTGGGGCGTTCGCCAGCCCCTGTTCAGCCTCAGCCCAGTGACCAC